CCGCCGGCTTCCCCCGAGGCTTTCAAAGCCGCGGAGGGGCTCCGGCGGCGGGGCATCCGGCGTACAAGACGACCCCCGATTTTTGGGGGATGTTTTTTAACTTCAGAGGTCGTCTTGTACGCCGGAATATACGGTAAATTGTCTTTTTTACATTTTTTGAGTTGTTGAAAGTGCTACCTTGTACTCCTTGAAGGTAGAGTGTTAAAAAATTTAGTGAAAAAAATCAATTATCATAGATATTAAACTGTTTTTTGAAGTGGTCTTCATGTAAAATGCAATATCAATAATACAGCTGATTGGATGTATGTTTACATATGAAGGATGTCTTCTTAACAGAAGTGCATTTTCTTCATTGGAGATGAATTATTGTGCTGCAAACTGTATCTAAATGGTGATCTTTCTCCCTATCTCACAATTACTTTGATATAGATATTGTATTAAGGCGTTATTTGTTACTTTTACTTTCAGAAAATGTAGTGTGCAATACATTCAGTAGGTGTTATGAAGTATTATAAACAAAAGTTAAACTTTAGGTAATGAATGACTACAATACATTTGGTGGTGATATACTGTGTCTTGAATTAATGTATTCAATCAAAAATTTCCTTAACGTGTATTGGGCTTGCTGTTCATTAATGCAGATTTTCAAGGTTCTAATGTCTGTCAAATGGTACTGAAATGTTGACTGCAATTTTGGTGGTGTGAACATTTGTATTGAGGGGGAAAAATCAGACAAAATGTGTTTATTAGAGACAAGGCAGATGTGTTTACACAATTACATTCTTTTTTACTTGAAAATTTTTTATCACCCTTGAATTGCTAAAGCATGAGAGGTATTAAATATTTATATATTTGAGTAGTCTTTATTGATTAATTGATCAAAATTGCTGTATTCAAATAATTAGCACTGCAACATATCACTAACTTACAGAAATTTATTAATATTAAGATAAATAGTTCTGAATAACTACAGAATGTATTACTTTGCAACCCATACACAGATCAAAAAACAGCAAATCGGTTTTGGAATACATCTGCTTGACTTCAGAATTGTTTTGTCTGTAAAAAGAACTTGGTTCTTTTTACAAGTGCATTCCAGACCTAGAATAGAGAACAGTAATGCTTTAATTTCAATGTCAAGATTGTCAGAAAAAATTACTAACTTTTCTCTCTTGTCTTGTGACTGCTTTGTTTTATAATGTGCATGTTTATTTATATTCTTACATTTTGAGGATGCAACAAATTTATTGATTAGTAAAATGTATAGCTTGTCAACTGCCTTTCTGGTATCAGGAATCAAATGTTAAATGGCATACTCTGACTTACTTTATTGATATTGATCTACTAACTTATCTCTAGTCTGTTTACAAATTGCAGCTGTCAATATATCTGACATTGATAAATGACCTTATTGAAATGTATCATTAACTAAAGTACTGTAGCTCACAATACCAGTCACTTCAGAATGGATGTTTTATAAGTGTGCATTTTTAGAGTGATACAAAATTACTAAACTAGCATAATTAATCTGACTTTATCTTAGTATTATAGCCTTGACAAACATTACTGTGTAATATTAATATATTCTTATTTTTGTTTTCAGCCTGGCTTGCCTCCCCAGAACTTTTCAATGTCAGTTACAGTTCCAGTGTCCAACCCAAATACTTTAACCTACAGTAACCCAGGGAGTTCCCTTGTATCTCCATCACTGGCAGCCAGTTCATCATTAACAGACACGACTATGCTCTCCCCACCTCAGGCCACATTGCATCGAAATGTATCTCCTGGAGCCCCTCAGAGACCGCCAAGTGCTGGCAATGCAGGTAAGGCTTCAGTTGTGCTAATTTTCTCTCCCCCCCCCCCTTTAATTCCAATAAAGCTTACATAGTTCTGCTAGTTTTATATGATGTGATGTAGCTGTGATTTCTTATATGGACAAAATCATAGAAATGTAGGGCTGGAAGGGACCTTGAAAAGTCATCAAGTCTAGCCCTCTGTGCTGTGGGAGGACCAAGTAAATCTGGTCTATCCCTGACAGGTCTTTCTCCACCTTGTTTTTAAAAACTTCCAATGACAGGGACTCCAATATCCTTGGAAGCCTAAACCTTTGTAGTTAGATTCAAGTTAAACATTAGGAACCTTTCTCATCATATCTTGCCAAACAATTTCCTGATCATTCTCATCCAATTGCCTGTGACCTTCAGATTGGCTACCAATTCCTATCACTTCATCAGAATCCAGTCTAAAATGCTTGTCCAACCTCCCTGATTATTTCTTCCACTTTCTGGAACAAAAATTTGTCCTGGTACATTCCAAAAACTTGTGGGAAATTTTACCTTTTGCTGTATTACTTTTCCAACAGATGGCTGGGTAGCTCAAGTCCCCCATTATTACAATATCTTGGTTTTTGGATAATTCTGTGAATAGTCATTGAAATATCTAGTCCACCTCCTCTTCTTGATGTAGTGGTCCAGAGTAGAGCTCCTACCATGACATTACCTCTTTTTTTTAAAGTTCTCCTCCCCTCCCCCCCGAGATTCTTAACTGGTCTGCCTCCCAGGTCCTTCTGGACCTCAGAACAACTGAATGTATCCATATCCTTTATGTATAATGCAATCCATCCTCCCTTTTTCCCAGCCTGTCTTTTCTGAACAATCTAAGCCAAATATTCCAGTCATTAAATTTATCCCACAAAGTCTCTTTGATGCCAATTTAATCAGAATTTAGGTTATGTACTAACACTTAAAATTCTTCCTGTTTATTCTCCATACTACTTGCATTTGTGTACAGACCTGTGAAATGTTCATCAGATTCTGCTACCGACTTCCTTTTGTTGTCCCCTATTGTAATTTTCCATGTCCCTCTCCTCACTCAGTCACCAATTTTTATGCCTACCTGTGGGATTTTATCACTTGTCCCCGCTGAACCTAGTTTAAAGTCCTCCTTGCTAAGTTGACAAGTCAGTGCCCAGTTATGCTTTTCTCTTTATTGGTTGGGGGAACCCCATCTCTTCCTAGCAGACCTTCTTTCTGGAATAGAATTCCCTGGTCGAAGATGCCAAAGTCCTCTTGAAGCTATGCAGCCATGTGTTCAACACCAGGATCTGTGCCATCCTGCCTGGCCCCAACCCTCAACCAGGAGGATGGATGAGAACACACCTTGCACCCTTAACCAGTGTTCCCTCTAAGGTGCATGGCTGCGCAGGTGCACACCAAGAATTTGAGGCCTGCCAACCTCCTGAGTAGGTCCCCACAGTGGCTGCTCAGCTGCTCCGAGGTGGGGCCACATGGCAGATGGTTGCCCTGGCCCAGGAGCAATTGGGCAGCCACCACGCAGCCCTGGTTCTAGCTTCAGCCCTTCTGCAGGGCTCGAGCTGTGGGCTGTTTGGTGGGTGGCAGCTGTTCCAGCGGCCTTAGCAGGGGCCAGCACCATATGGCAGGTGGCAGCTGCTACGGCAGCTTCAGTCTGGGTCAGAGCAATATATCTCCTGTGATATTTGTTAGTATCATATGTGCCATGGTGACACACATCCCAGCAAACGCAGAAGACCTCAGTATTGGTCTCCACGACAAAACTCACTCTGCTCATGGATGGAAAGTCTTAGAGGGAACACTGCCCTTGACTCCTGCTCCCTCACTCCTGGAGCCTTGTTGTCTGATCTGCTCAGGGTCAGACCTGGCTGTATCGTTAGTGCCCACATAGAGTAGTAATTGGATGGATGGATAAGCATCTGCAATCTTTCCATAACCTCTCAGATGAGGGTTTCAGGCAGGCAGCCCATCTCTTGGGACTTCATGTCAGACCAGCAGATAGATACCTCTCTTTACTGAGAAGGGTCTACCAGTACAATACATCTCTTCTCAGGTGCAGTGGCAGTGAGCTTCTAGGATAAATGGCAGCTCCTCCTCAGCCATTGGGATTTATTCTTCACTTCCTGTTGCTGGTACAGCAAACCAGTTCTTGATCTTTGTGGACAGGGGGGCAGGGTGTAGCACCATCTATTGACCAAGGTGGTCAGCAGCCTAGAGCAGCCACTTCTCCCATCTCCTCTTGTGCTGCTGCTTATTGTAGTAAAATGTTTTACTACGATAGGGTACGTTATCCGCATGAAAACTGATCAGCTTTTTCTTTGATTTTGTTAATTGTTAGGTGGCATGTTGGGTACAGCAGATCTTACAGTACCAAATGGAGCTGGTACCAGTCCAGTGGGTAAGTAGAGTTACCACGATTTATTTGAGCTTTGTTTCTTGAATGTGCAGTCTCTCATGAGTGATTTCTGATTCTGACAAGCCAAAAAAAAAAAGTCTTTGATTCAGAACAAAAGTAAACTGATGGACTAATCAGTAACCTTTCCTTTATTTTTTTAAACAAAACACTAGTCTTTTCAGTCTGTAAATTGCATTTTTCACATTGCTATATTGTGAACTGCATGTTTAACTTCCATTATTTTCCCATTCCAGATAGTTACTAGTATTTCCATTTTTTTTATTCAGAAGAGCTTCTCGGTAGTGTTTGCTGCTTTTTCTTTTTTTATGTATCGTCTTCTTCCCTCCCCCGTCCCTGCCTTGTTCTCTCATTGGAACCATAAATGTTTCACTAAGCGTATATTCTTATGGAACTTAGGGAGCCCAACAGCCTAGCTTCTGTACCTGTAAAAATACTGGGACAAATTATTAAACAACTAGAATATTTACCCAGCGTGGCTCAAGTACTTAACTCGGTCTTTGTTTTACTTCATTTAAATCATTGCTCTGAGGTGGGGCTGGACATGAGAAGTTCAGTATGTGGATTTCCCCCGGGAGAGTGACTTGAGCTTGGGGCCAGGTGAGAAGTATCTGTCCGTGGCCGCTGCCCGGCTGTGCACACTGGAGGTGGAGGGGTATACATTCCTTGGCTGGGGCAAATCCAGGTTGTTCTTCTAGTGCTTGCTCATGTCCATTCCAATGAGGTGTGTGTGCGCTGCGTGCAAGGATTCCAGAGCTTTTTTCCCTTAGTAGTATCCATTAGGCTAGCCGGGGAGCCCCCTTAGAGTGTCTCCTCTATATCCGTGCATATATAGCCCTGCTGACCCTCCAGCCCCTCAGCTCCTTCTTCCCACCTGTGATGGTAGCTAGAGCGCTGACTATATTGTTAGTCCCTATCCTTAGTTCATGTACATAGTTGTTCTTTTGTCTTTCAAGTCATTTAGTTAAAAAAACAAAAACAAATTCATCTGAAGAAGTGGGTTGTGCCCATAAAAGCTCATGATACCATCTACATGTTTTGTTAGTGTTTAAAGTGCTATTAGACTATTTATTGTTTTTTTTAAAGTTTTTCCTGTACAGACTAACTTGGCTACCTCCTGAATCTTTTCAGTCAGTTAGTTGTTAGTTTAAATAAGAAAAGGGAGTTTCTGCTCCCTTTAGCCTCTCCGAGGCCGCAGGGGTTCAAGTTGTATGTGAAGTGCTTGAAGCCCATGCCCTGCGGCAGCCCACATTAAGCAAGAGTTAAGTGTCTGGGCAAGGGCCATTGTACAGACAATTGCCACATTTGCAAGAGTTTCAAGCCAAGGACAAACTGTGAAAAAGACTCTAGACTCAAGCATATTCTCGTGGAGACTGCTTTGCAACCGCTGGCACCGGAGTGGGCACCATCGGTGCAAAATGCACTGACCTCAGTGTGGGAGACCTTGACGGCACTGACCAGACTGGCTGCTGCCTCTTCAAAATCCTCAAGGCCCCGCTCACTGTCCCTGGTGCCAAAGAGAGAGAGAGATCACAGCGGGAGGCCTCCGGAGAGGCACAACCACAAAGTGTGCCCTAAGGAGGGACACTCGGCTTTGAAGATGTACCATGGGGCCCCGGTACTGGCAAGGCACTGGTGAAGCCCAATGCAGAGGGAGAGTCTGGTGCGGAGGTGGTAATCAAAGAACTCCAGCAACTGTCGACCCCCAAGACATTTGATGCAGCACGGGAGCTCATCAAGTTGACCTCGTCACCACGCACGGAGACCTCGGCACCATTTCAGCAGGCATATCCTGAACCCCAGGCATCAATCCTGTCGCAGTCTGAGGTGCTCCAGTCAGTGCTGAGCACCCACTTGGGCCCAGCAGTCAGAGCTGACACCGGTGATGTTACCAGCATGGGGACACTTGTGGGGACTGCAGCCAGCACCCATGCCTACCTCCGTGGCACCAGGAGCTCCAAAACCACAACACTTAATGGCTCTGGCAGCACAAGGGGTGAGTTTTCAGTCTGGGCCCCTGGTACTGCCTTACAGTGTCCCCACGGCACCGTATCAATTAGAGCATCTGGACTGGTTACCTCCTGCAGTCACTACAACACAAATGATGCTCCCATTGGCACTGGGCCCAGTGCACGTGGGGAAACCTGTGACCATGACCCAGCACCAGAAATTGCATAGATCACTGACACCACCATGGTTGGTGTTCAATTATTCTTCGGACTTGGAAGAGGAGTTGGTGCATTCTAGGACATCTGCATAATGGTCCAGATCTTGGCACCATTCTCGCTCTAGACAAACTTGGCCATCCCAATGGCAACTGCAACCTCTGTGGCCGTTCTGTGTGCCTTGGGCCTGCCGCTGTTGGTCAGTGTTGGTGACATCATGCACAGGAAGTGCCCCCTCAGCTACCTATCTTCTGATAGCTCCCACTTCGGAGTTGGCCCATTTCTGCATTAAGGATTTGGTGAGACCTCCTCTGGAAGGTGAGGGCACTATGCTGTTGGTAGCCAGTCAGGATGTCCCTTCTGCTGTACCCCATGGACAGCTGGCAGAGGAATAGCTGGGCGGGGGGAAGTCAAGGAGTCATTGTCCTCCTCACCTGATGAGATCTTGGCTGATCCTACCCCGCCACTTCTGTCTATGGATACCAAGTTCCACAAAGACCTGCCAACTTGGGGGTGCAGGCAGAGGAGGTCCAAGAGGAGTCTGATCCAGTGGTGGACATCCTCACAGCAAATACCCCATGTAGAGTGGCACTACTACTTAATTTCATAGAGGGATAAGGGATCTTTCGGAAAAGGCTTTATTTTCCACAAGATCAGCGTCTAGGCTGGCGCTTTTTTCCGGCAAAGCTCCGTGCCGAAAAAAAGCGGCAGCCATTTTTATGCTAATGAAGTGCGGGAGATTTAAATCCCCGCTTCATTAGCAATTGCAATACGTCTAATTTACATCCCTTTTACGAAAAAGGGCTGTAGTCTAGACATAGCCTTTGAATGTAGCCAGAGTAGGAGCCATCACGCTTCCTCCAGGCAACAGAGTAGATCCCGTCTAGAACACTGGTCACCTCAGTGGCTGAACCCAGCTCACTGGCCTTCTGGACCCAATGGGCTTTTCACCAAACTCAGGGCAGGAGCCTGAAATCTCAATCCAAATTGGTGATGT